ACACACACACACACAGAATCTCTGCACTCATCCCCTCAGTCCTGCTGGCTGTTTGGGTCCTCTGTTGCTGCAGAGTCTTTCGAGCGGTCGGAGCAGTTCGTCCTCTCTGGGTCTGTACGGCACCACGTAGCTGTCCTCCTCCAGCAGGATGCGGTTTAGAGTGTGCTCATAGTTAATGTGACGGCGCACCATCAGTATGTACTGTTTCCCTTCCTCCAGGTGGGGGCAGTCACACAAATTAGGGGCCCATAAGAACTCCCGGTGCTCCAGGCGGTAGCCGTTCCGGTAAGTGTGGATGATCTGGATGTCATAACGCGTCTCCTCGCCTCTGTACAGCTTCCCAAGGACTCTGCCCCGGAAAACTAACGGGAAGCAGAGACAGCTCAATAAGATATTTCAATTTATGTTCAAGTTAGCGTTCTGTCACAAGCTATTTAGAAAAAAACAAAGCTACAAGGTTCAGACTCACCAAAGTCCTTCTGGCAATATTGTCTCTGGCGTTCCCTTCGACCTTTAACCCGCTGACATTTCCCACAATTCTCTGCACAATAAATCAAGCAGAAACAAGCTCACAAATATCGTCATGATATGAGGAGCTTACAACCTTCATATGCTGGGAAATATGCATGCTTGCTTGGGAGTTAGATGGAAGGGTTGATATCAAATAGCTACACATCTGAACATGAATATATTAAGAGAGCTGGTTACTGGCATTAGCTGGTATTGCTAAACTTGGAAACTTCAGTTTGGCAAGCAATTTTTTATATTTGAGTCCAGTATCCAGTTCTTATAGTACATGCATGTCACTGAACCACTGCCCACATCTCAGATTTTTATCACAGATTCAAAATTGACACGAGAAACATTAAGTTAATGTAAAAAATGTAAAATGGTGAACGTACTTCCGGGTGAGGGCTGAGGCAAGAGGTTTCTGTGGTTCTCCTCCCGCTCCAGGCGGGGAAGGATTGGCTGGTGGGGGCGCTGGTGGCGGTTGTGGTGGGGCGATTGGCGCGGCGGCTTCACAGGCCTTAAAACTAGTAGACAAAAATTACATACACTGTTGTTAACAATGTTGTAAACAGCCATTAAACTGCAATGAAATTAATTTTAATAAAATTATATCAAAGCCCCTTTATAGAGGATAAGAACATTTCTGACTTTGGGTGCCCGGTTAGCTCAGT